TTATTTTCAGAATCATTCAAGGGCAACTGAAATGAGAATAGCTTATTTGTCCTTCCCAGAATTTGTATAATGTCCATACCAAAATGTAGTCAGAGCGACAAGCCTGTGTATCCCCACCTTCGTAGTCAAAAGAATGTTGCGATGATTCCGGTCTGATTGAAGACTTGGCTGGAATCGGACAACTTACTTGTAGTTCGTCACTGTCTGGCACTTCTCAGCGGTTGTCGGACTACAAATATTAGGTCGATGATTGTCTGCCGTCGCCAATTCTGCAAGGTGTTCCCGAAAATAGTTCCTGTTTTATGTGCGCGTTCAGACAGTAAAGTAAGAGACGTGCAAACATATTACAGACAAACTGGAGAGACGCTCGGTGTTTATTGTCAGAGATGCTACGGTTTCCTTTGCCTCGCGTGTAGGTGACTACAAACGTGTCTTTGAACCCTTGCAAGCGTTATCTTGCTCGCCACATTTACACTAAAGTTGGTTTGCCTATGGGTTCGGGGTCAGTTTGTTGAGAGATTGCGGCCGGAATTGAGCTGAAGCCTTGTGAACTTTTCACCAGATATCTGATGTACTGTTCTAATTGGTGCATGCCACTTGAGGTACTCTGTTAACGGCTTCCTTGCAGATGGGCGATTAATGACGCTTTGGCCCAGCACTCCATAATCTGCTATTTCTCCGACAGTAACTTTATTGCGTGTAAGGTGCGCAAAGGCGCCACTCCATTGGGCGGAAAGATGTAACCCTCCTTGGTTATCGTGAAGAAGTTCCTTAGTTTATGGCCGTCGGCGTATCCTTAGGGAGTAACGGCCTTGTGACTCGGCCAATCGTTTTGTGCATCCCTCCGCTTCTATTACATTAGGCCTCGATCCTGTTGGTAACTTAGGTTGTAAGTAGGGAATCCTTTTCTGTAGATTTCAACAGCAGGAACGGTCCGTTGCCGTTGCAACCACCTATATCGTAGCAAGTTAGCAACTCTACTCTAATCGATTTGTTAGCCTCCACACGGCCGATGAAGGTTTGAAGATCGTAGAACTTGTCCTTCACCTCGTCGTAGTTATTAGAAGAGCGCACGCGTGCTAATTACTACAGCAATCGCGTGGGCATGAGACAATCTTTGGTTCCAGGAAAGGGGCAAGGAAATACCCTTGCAATGTCTGTTTTGAGGATGGAGGTGTTTAATTTCTCTACCCTCGAACCTCGGGTGTATCCTGCATCTACTTCATTCCTGTAAAATTGTTCGAAAATCAGCTTTCATTTCGCAGCCAATCAGTTAGTGGTCGAC